GTAGTAGTAGTAGTAGTAGTAGTAGTAGTAGTAGTAGTAGTAGTAGTGGTAGTGGTAGTGGTAGTGGTAGTGGTAGTGGTAGTGGTAGTAGTAGTAGTAGTAGTAGTTGTTGTTGTTGTTGTTTCCCCTCTTCTTAATGTTGTGTTTTTGTTCTTGCTGCCAAATCATGTACTGTAGTTTCTGAGGCCTATTCTGTCACTGCAACGTCTGGTACGTCGTTTCTTCCTACTCTTTCCTCCGTGGATCAAACCTTTGACTCTTCAGCTTCAGTGATTCAGTGTTTGAGACTCAAGATTGCTATCTCAGAGCAGCTTCCTGGGATTTCCGGGGTTGGTCGAAGTTGGAAGTTTTGTGGGGTTAGTTGACGCGCCGCACTTTTTCGCATTTCCTCAGACGGACAGGAGGAGAGCGAGACGGAATCCTCGTCTGAAGGACTGCGGCACTAACGGCACTGCATGGCTACTTTTGTGTGGTGTAGCAGTGTAGCCTGAAGCCACTAGTTGTTTGCAACAGATCAATGCAATTGTTGGATTTGAATAACCTTATAACCTTTTGTTACTCTTGTTCACAAGCAGTTGCCCCAATGTTGCCTGCAAATACAGGGGGTTGTTGCTGAACAGCGCAAGACAACACTGTGTCATTTGCTTTTGAGGACAGGTTGCCTCGTTTTGGTTGTTTGCCTTGCGCGCAAAAATAGCTAAACCCAAACAACATGGTTTTCCAAAAGTTTGGACTCATCAAGAGACCAACCCGAGGCACTGCCCACCCAAATTGCTTGACAATTTCTGCTTTGGGGTCTGATTCTAAACAACTATGCTGTTGCCACCCTTTCGGCCATGGCATGAAAGGAAGGGCATTATATAATGGACCTTTCTGGTGCATCAGAAAGTGTATTTCTGTATGATGCAGAAAGGGGTCCTAGAGGCACTATTTTCATTTCTCAGGCATATAGGCAACAAAGTGACCATGTGATTCAGCCACCAAACGGTCTGAGTTGCTGAATCGGTCAATGTCCAGACAAATAGGCAGTAACCCTTGACGTAAGCCAAACAGTTACACAAACGGTGTTTTTGCTGTATGAGTCAATCTCGTAAAAGGTGAGTTATACTCACGCAGATGAACTGCTTTTCCGACCTTGTTCCGGGATTGCTTTTCAAGCCTTGCCTGGGAACTCACACGAGAACTGAGGAGGCTAGAACTGAGGCGAAGCTTGTGGGCCCGTTAAGCACAAGGTGTGATGACTCCTGGAGCCGGGGCTAATTACATACATGACCTGCTTGACGCAGCAAAAACAGCGAAGATGGAGACTTTGGTGGACATCTTGATATCTCCTCCGAAAGAAAGTCCGCCTTCACTTGAGCCGGAGTTTTTTAGATACTGAACAAGTAGTTGTATAGCAAGGGCCAAAACCTAATCATTAAATCGTGTGAATTTTGGCAAATGTTGCGTCCTTCATGAATCGACCGATGGTCATCAACAAGTCATATGTTTCTTTTCTCGACATCCTACATCTATATATACATGTAAACCTCCAGTTGTGCAGGGGAAAAATGCTTTTCCTGCAGGACAACTTTAAGATGAAACAGTCCAATCAGGCTTTTGATTTGGTATTTGTCCAAGCATCTACGATAAGACATATCCACTGCACACGTGGCGAAGGTGAAGGTACTGAGTTTGAGGTCCATCTTTTTGAAGACCTGCGGGTGGGGAGGCCGCTAGAAGGTAGCTAGTAGAAGAGGTAGCTAGTAGCTTAAATAGCTACTACTTAGGATGCAGGATAGCTCACGCTAATGATTTGGTTTCTAGATTTTTAGGGAAACTGCGTCAACTTTTTAAATGCTGCCTCAACATTTGTGGAGGCCGTTACACTGATGAACATGCTTGGAATATATGGGTAAGTACTGTACCAAGGATTCAGTTAACAGTAACTCCTAAAAGTCTAATCATACATCGCAGTGATTCTGGTGCGGATCAGCATGGTCCGGGCTGTCCACGTTGAGGACAGTTGAGAAATGTGTTGTATGTTTGCAGGAGGTCGTATTCTCAAATGAACTAATGTCATTCTTTGCCGTGCAAAAGGGAGCCCTTGCATAGCACCAGAATGTTCTTAGGCAGAAATCAGATCCTTAGAACGACAGAATCGTCTTTGCTCCGGGAGGGACACCTTGGACCTCGGATCTCACAGTCCGTGCACTCGAGGAATCTTCTAGGGACCTTGCAATGTTTCGGATTTTTGCCAATAATTCGTGTAACGAAGCGCGGAATTATTCTTACAAGCCCATCTTGGATGCTGAGCAACTCGTTGTGACACTAAGAAGGTGACATACTTGACACCTTGTGGGTTTACTACTGCACGAGTGAATGCCATGCCTGAAGATTGAAGACTCCAATTTAATTTACTATTCTTGGTGGACTCAACAGGCTGGGCCGCATGGTTTTACAATGTTTTATGTTCACGCCTACCCCCAAACAAGGAGTTGCTGTACCTGGAATTTAGGTGCGATCGAGGCCCCCACACAACGCGACTCACTCAAGGGACCACAAAGATGTTGCAGAGTTTAAATCATGCACTATGCTGGAGGACTGGTTTCGCAAACAGAGTTTAGTGAAGGCCCACAATCCAACAGAGAAGAGGCAATTGAATTGATTTTGCATATTTGGCAAATTGAAGCGTGCAGCTCCAGTGTAGGAGCGTTGCTATTGGGACTCTCCGAGTTTGACGATCAAAACAAGCATGTGATGTTGCTTTGCGCTTGGGCAAAATGCATCGCTATCTAAGCGGAGGAAAACGGTGGCTGTCACTGATGTTGCATCAGGTGGATTAGGGATCCGCCGATGCGAATTGTGGTTGCTTTTGTGCAGCGCAAAAAGTGGTGCAGTTCCTACTCCAATTCCTGATGTCAACCGTGATGCTATGCAGCTTGACAATAGTTTTACTTTGATACGGTTTGGTTAGTTTGGTTCACTTGAGTCGAGATCACAACGTGCTGAGGCCGTAGTGCCAAACGAGGCTGAGCAATGGAGTAGATTTACTCTGACTTGTCAAAATTTGACGGGCCTTTGTTTCAACCTTGCTGCAACAGCTTCTCTTGTTTTGCAACTAGGAGCCATGCATTTCTTGCTGTAGGATGTGCAGGCCAGGCCATAGTTTGTATCGAAACACGCGGCGTTTTTGTGTCAGGCCCAGAGAGCCCTTCTGCAGGTGGGGAACGCTCAGGTTCCATTTGTTTAGACTTAGACAATTCTTTTTTTTGTCAGGAGAATCACTTGAAATGTATAAATGGTTAGGAAAGGCATCCCGTGCAAAGCGTTGCCATGTTTCCCTCAGGACTCCATCCTTAGGATTTATATGCATGACTTTTAGCCTCGAACATAGTCGAACATAGAGCATAGCTAGGTATCGAACATGTAGCAGCGAGGTGCTTCAGCCTTTGTCTTTGACATGTGTAGATTAAAAGATAGACAATAACCATACTGCATTACATTGTAGACTTGTCTCTTCCAATATCATGGCACATCGGCCAAGTCTCCAGGTGCCGAACCTCGAGGCGAGGAAGCCAAATCCATGAGTTGTGAGATGACAGTCATGCGTTACGTCGAGGAACGGAATGGAACAGCAACAAGTCGAGGCCTCAAACCTACTAGCGATGGCCTCCAACCTAATGGCAATGGAAAAGCATGGAAAAGCAACAAGTCGAGCTCTCATACGGACTTGTCGATGATGTATGGGATGGAACTCCTCTCACAGGCTGTGGCCACTCTCGACCCTACTGTCAAAGCAATAAATTCCACACTACCCACTACTTGGATGATGGAGGTTTGCAGGTGGTGCAGGATTTCTTCCTTAACGCCAGTCATACCTCTAGCTTTTGTGCCGTGCAGGGCTTCCACAGACTTCACCTAGTGCAGAGGAGCTGGAACAGCTAGTGATGTGTGAGCGGAGAAAACATGCTGCGCGTGGAAATGCTAGCTTTTTGGGGGAAAGCAATACCCAGCAAGGCTCGTCCACACTTAACCTAACGAGCGGCAATTCATGTTAATGCCGCAGACCTCCAAGCAGTCCAAGCATCAACTGCATACCTCCAAGCCAGCTACCTTCCGACATCAAACTCAGCTGGACTATATAGAGGTCGATAGAGGTCGAGCATGCTGAGCATGCCCGGGTTGTGAGCACTTTCCAAACCAGGTGGACCCCAATGTGCCTGGCAGTCCTCCAGGATTTTCAACGTGGCCTTAGTGCTGGCATCACTTGTGTGCTGCCCGAGGAGGACTGGTGAAATCGGGTTTGAACAACCACAAGACTGAGAGAGAAAGGAATTCCAGACCAAGAACTCATGGATCACGGATCTTTTGAGTGCTACATGCAGGAGCAGAAGCGTGTCTATGTCGGTACAGTGGAAGGGCGAGTGAGGCCCTTACAAAATTCACGAAACTGTGAACCTTTCAATGGTTGGCCACCCTACCCTTATCAATAACAGGAAGCAGATCGACTTGTGTGGAGGTTGTGGATAACCCGGGATTTGCGCATTTGAGGTCATCATCTTCTCGACAGAGAATGACTTTTCGGAAGCTTGTCTGAGAGAGATTTGAAGCCACTCAAGAGGAGAGCCACTTATTCTGCTCGTCATTCTTTGGTCTTCAATAGGTACACAATCAACTGTGTTGCATGAAAAGGTTCTAACCACCTGCCAAAGAGACAGGACACCGATTGATCATTGATCATGTTTGTGCTTGAACAACTTGAACTAAGTACCGAACTGCAGTGGCACTGTGAGTTTCTGACTTGCCTTCGAAAGCTCTGACAAAGAGGTTGAGAACGAGCCAATGAAACCCTATCAACAGATTCCCTGAGAATGCCCACTCCCAACAGACTTGCTTGCAGAGATTTCAATTTCCTTCAGATGTTTCAATCGTTGAAAAGCACAGGGAGGGATCATGTGGAACATTATAATATGGAACATATTTTTTGTTCATCTCGGGGGGTTGGCCTAAGTAGATAGTAGCTACTAAGCCTAAGTAGCTTCTTAGGCTTTGATGCAGAAGCCTGATTTGGCTCCTGTAACTTTTTGGGCGCTTATAGAAAAAGACATTAAAAGGCCTTGCTACGCTGCTATGTGCCGCAGCAAAATCTGCCAACGTCAGGTGATTCGATGGATCCATCTGGAGGACGCCACCCCAGTCACGTGCCTCGATGTGGCCGTGTGGGCACAAGGCAGGGCCTCGACCTCCAAGGTTTGGATTCCACTGCGTTCTTAGTTAGTAGTGATCAAAAAACACTGTTAAGTATCAAATTGACAATGCCAAAGGCTTCAAGTGTTGATCAGTTCTCCACATTGGTTTACAATGTAGAAGTGTGGAAACCATTCGCTGTGTGAAACTCACCAGCCAGGGCCTCATGGTTGCTCTGCAAAGTGACCAATCTGACAGATCCCACCTCCTTTCTACTCTTTGAGGTACAGAATACCCAGGTCATGGCCATTTGAATTGAAGAACTATAATTCTGCGTTGGCCCAACTTTGATTGAAGCCATGCCATGACATTCTCAGGGGTGGAGGTTCCAGATGGTGAAGTCCCAGGGCTCCTGGCGGTGGGCACCCAGGAGAGGGGTGAATGGAGATCTTCGAGAGCTCCGCACGGTGTCCATGGTTTTCACATGTGGTGTCCACATACTGAGATCCTGAGCCCAAAACTTGCGCTGGCATGTTTTTCATCGCTGGTAGCAACGTATCTGCTTGAATTGAAGTACTATGTAACCACATACTTATTCAGTTACACCAAGATGCCTTCAAGCACCTTTGCACTCTCTCCATCTCATTTGCAACAAACGTGTGGGATGCAGATTCCTCATGTCATGTCATGTGCTACTAGTTACTAGTAAAAGGTTCAAGAGTATGAGTAAACTTGAGTAAACAATCGGTTGCTTTCCAGCCAACACTAGCATCTACATCCTGAAACATAAGGAGGAATTACCTAGCTCTTCTGAAGAGGCTTGCTTTTTGTGTCCGACAAGACCGCTTTGCTACAAGCAAAAAGGTTTTTCACATTTTTTCACTTGATATAGATGTCCTCACAGTTTCAGCCTGGTCCATGGGCCAGGATGGCATGGCACACATTTACAGCCTCGCGAACGGACGCCTTGCAGGACGCCCTTTTATCCACCCATGTGATCTCCTGAATGCTAATGGATTCCACTTCT